TGGTGTTAAATAATCTATTAAAATAAATTCACCGATAAGTGTTATAATTCACATTTTTTGGATTTTCGTCTGAAATACATTTAATTTGAATTTTGACTTTTTGAGTACTGATCGGTGTTGGGCCTTTCATTTTTGTTTTTTGCTTTGCATTAAGCATGCCATGTAAATGTAATTTTTTGTTTTGACCAAAAAAAATATAAGTTTTCTAATTGTCATTTTAAAATGTAACTTATGAGCATTGAACTATTGAGTTCTCCAAGCTATATAATGCAAATTACTCTTAAAATTAGTTGTTAATTAACTATAAAGAATTTATTAATTTGGATACAAGAGATATCAATGAAAGTTTTCATCTTCATTTGTCAGTTATTAGTAGATTTAAATTTGTGAAAACTAATTATCAATTTATTATATTGAAGTTGTAAATTATTTTTTAGTATTATTAGTAGAATTGCTCAGTGGATAATTACATAAAAATAATAATTGATGACGTGAGGATAACTACCTTTTGAAAAGTTCATTAGTTATTTCCAATGGAAGATGAAAATCGCCACAGAGGGTGAACATGGCGCCATGAATCACAAGGGCTTCTTTGACTATGTATTTTGAAAATGGCCATAAACATCTATTTATATATTTAATATATTTATTCTTTCTTTTTTTTTCCCGGATAAATATATTTATTCATAACACTAGTACGTACACGGCTAGGTACTCCTTCAAGTTCATAATATAAATCCAAATTAATTAAATTTTCAAAAAATAAGGAAGGAAGTTAAACATCATTAACTCATTCAATTGGTCAATAAATTATACTAACTTTGGTTCTTAATATAATAGCTAGTTAAAAATTAGATTTGGTTCTAAATATGTGATTTCAATATATTTTGTCTCTCAAATTTTTTAAAAAAATATTCTTATTGATTATACATATTAAAAAAGTTATTATTAAAAGATAATTTCAATACACATAATTAAAGAATGTAATTTAGGAAAGTTAATGCATATTTATTACAAATAACTAATTTAATTAATTTTGTTAGTATATAAAAATTAATTATTAATCTTTTATATTATTAAGGATTAGAGGTAGTATTGTTTTTCATTATTAAATTGTCAATTGTCAAATGTAACTATAACTCTCTCGCGTTGTATCTTTAAAAAAAATGTTTCGTGCCAATGCCTTGTCCTAAAAGTCAGGTTTGGACTAGCTCAAAATATTTGGTGAAATCATCCTTGACCAACTCTTGGAAAACAATCTTGTTCAATTTAAATTAACTAAGTGTAAATTGATAAAATTTAAGAATAGTTGTAATTAAATTTGGAGTAAAACATTTTAAACACCCTTTAGTTGACACTTAATTGCATACATTGCTTTTTCATTTTGAAAACATATATTTTAGTCCAAATCATTAATATAGTTAAGAATATTTTAGAAAGATCATAAAAATATTTTTTTTAATAAAGAATTATATAAAATAAATCTTATTTACTAATATGACCCTTATCACACTAAACATCTAATTTATCTTTTGACAGTTTATTTAATACTTATTATGAGAGTTATTTTTTAATTTTTTAGAAAATTTAAAAAAAAAGGTAATGACTGCTTTAAAATCAATAATTTAATTAAAAATTTGAGTAATTTTTTGCACAAATATACATTTAATGAAATATGATTAGAAACTAAATTATATATGTGGAAATATTTTTTTATAATCTTATTAATGTTAATAATATCATAGGCACATAATTATATCATTTTTTTTAATCTTAAAATGCAATTGAAAAAATATATATAGGCTTGCAAGAAATTTTTAGTATTTAAAATATTACATTATAAATAATTTTAAATCAATTAATTAAATATATAAAATTATTAAAGCTTAAAAATTTAGAATTATAAAATTAATTAACTTTGTAATATGCTCCAAATTAATCAATTTAATAATATAATTAAAATTTGAAATATATATTAAAATTATGTTTTTGGCAACAATGGGTGGTAAGATGATTAAATAATGCTTATATCAACGAGTAGCGTGAAAATAAAAAAGTTAGCGTTAGTTTTTAGCAGTCAATTAGCGATTTAACGGATGAAAGTAAAAACTAAAAGAGATATTTGTATGAAATTTATTTTAATTTTAAAGAAAATTGGTATAGATTTCCAAATCAAAAGGGAAATCTGAATAATTTAAATTAAATAGAGAGAAAATCATCTTATTTTATTATATTTAATTAACCTTTTTGAGTAAACAAATTTAATATTGTGTAATAAAATGTCAAAATCAAATCACCGACATTACCCTACCAAGACAAGTTCTAATTTCTAAAGATCAGATCGATATAACACATGCTTATGAAACGTGAACCAATGGCTTTGGAATTTATTTCATACTCGAATTATAATATTAAAAATAAAATGCTCATGACATTAATATTATTTCTTGTCTTAATTATAAAATCTTGTATATAATTAGAATCAGAAATAGTATATTATTAATGCTGATGTTTTAAAGTATTTAAAGTCTATTCTATTAAAGGCATATTTTATTATTAAAATATTGAAATGAGATTAGACGGCCCTTTGACAATTTCTCAATCTCCACCTAATACAAGGGAAACATTTTAATTTTAATAAAAAGGGAAATACTACCTCCGGTCATAAATATAAGAGCTAATTGACTAATTTGAAGAGATTAAAAAATAAATTAAGTTAATTATTTGTAATAAATATGTGTTGTCTTTCCTAAAATATCCTTACTAATCAAGTGTATTGGTCAGAATTATCATTATTACAAGAACTCTTTTAGAAAAAAATGAATAAATATGAGAGACAAAGTGATTAGAACCAAAATAAAAATCAAATGAGGTCTTATATTAAGGATCGGAGGTAGTAGTTTTAATATAGATGGTTTGAAAAAAAAGGGATTTGGTAAATTCAAAATAGATACCATGTGCTCTTACTCAAAAAGGGGAAAAAAAAAAACTATCTGCTACAGGCCTCTTTTATAATAGATTAATAGATAGTTTAACTATATTGCCTGTCTTAAAATTGGTATTTTCTCATTTTGAATAAAATAAAAACATTTTCAACTATCAATTTGGAAATAATAATTTAAATTAGAAATCAAAATACTGAAAAAAATAAGAACATTTATATGGTTAAGAGAGACATCTCCATAATTGAGACGGGATTTAATGTTGCTTAAGGAATAATTTCAACAAAAAAAAAGATTACCCTCATAATAGATTTAGAATAATTTTCTACAAATTTGAATGTTTGAGATTTAATTTAGATGGTTTATATTTAATATTTTTTTATTTTAAATTATTATCACTTCTAATTCTATAAACAAAAATTTTAATTTGCATCTCATTTATTTCAACAAATTCTTTAAAATTTATAGGATGAAATGAAATATGATATGAAAATTTAGAATTTCAAATATATTTTTGGGGCAAAATAAAAGATTTTTTTAAATAATTTTTTTCCTTTTTTGAAAAAAAAATATGGATCAAATGCAGAGGGAGTAATCCTTTTTGTGTCATTTGGGAGAAGGGTTGGACCAATTTCTTTACACAAGGCACTCAAACTCCTCCCACCACCATTTTTTTCCCAATTCCTATATTTAAAGTAAAATAAAATATAAAAATAAAAATAAAAGAATAAAAAAATCACAAGGCACCAAAGTTGTCAAATTCATAAGATACCCACTATGAATTATGGCACACAGTTTGTCATATTTGTTTTTCTAAAACTTCAATAAATTATTAGAAAAAAAATTGATATCATTCTTGACATTTATTATTAGAAAAGTTATCAAGTTTCATTTCAATCTCAAAATGTGGATTAGGGTTAGACTTTTTCATCTTTTTTATTTTTTAAACAGTTTCTGACTTTAAAATTGGGTCAAGCTTTTTATGAGTGTCTCACTTTGAATTGTATTGATTGATCTGCCTGCAATATTCAAGAGGCTGAGTCACAACCCCCTTTAATCGCCGTTCATTTCAATATTGGTGGGACCCTAATTAATCTTAACCCTTCCCCTTGATCAACGGTAATTATTGGCTTGTCATCACATGAGATTTTTCATAGACGTTGATTCCTTTTTTAATTTCTACATCAACATCATGTCATCACAAACATTGCAGAATATAAAATTATCAATTATTCTTCTCCCCATAAAAAGAAAAAAAATGTGAGAAAGGCCAAATAGCTTACCTTTCCTGTTTCTCTCTCTATTACTTGAAGCCAATCTGGCTGTATAAATTAAAATTAGATTATACATATTTTATTTCATTTTACTTACATGTAAATAAAAATAATTTTTTATCTATCTCTTTTAATAATATTAATTAATTTAAAAAATTCAAAATATAAATGGTTTAAATCAAATCTGAATGTATATATATTTAATACAAGAATAAGTAAAAAAAAAATATATCACTCATAACTTTGTTGTTTAATGACATAAAAATTTTCCTATAGTTAAAAAGTTGCCAATTCAATACTACTTGTAATTTTAGATTGTTAATAGTTATAATTTTAATTAAAAAAAATGAAGGATATCAATTTGTCAGTCCTTCCTTTTTTTTTTTGGTGTACAAAATTTTTAAAAAATAATTGGTTATCAGATATTTTAAATGATTTTAGAGCAAAAATGGTTGGTGCAGATACGATGGTTTCAGATTTTAATTTTGTGAGGATTTTGAAAATTTATAAGCAAAGCAGAAAAGTCCATAGTCAACACGAGAAGTGCCATAATATTCTTGCATTCTTTGTTCCGCTTATGGGGTAAAATTTAAGTTAAAAGGTTTAAAATTTCAATTTAAAAACACAAAATCGAAATCTTTCGATTAAAAATTAAATCTAACATCAACAAAAAGGAAAAGTTGGATGAAAATTATTAAAAAAGAAAAAAACAAAGCTGAACATTTACTTCTTAGGCAATACAAGAGGTCACATACAGAGACCCCTCTTCCTTTCTCTCTCTTCTCCTCATTCTCTCTCTAACCCCATTTCATCTTTCTTTCCTCTTTCTAAAGCCGTTTATGAGATTCTTCCCAATGGTTTTTTCTCTTCCATTGAATTGTGCAGATTTCCAGCTGAAATATGGAAATTAAATCTCTTCAATTTTAGTTGACTTGTGGCTATTTATGTGAATTTTTTTCCTCTGGGAAGCTATTGAACGAACTGTTAGGGGGGTTTTCTTGCTTCTTTTTTCTTCTGTAAACTATCATTCTGGGTTTGTTTCAGAAGAGGCTTCATACGCAGTTGTGTATGCCGCAAAAGGATTGAAGAAAACTATTATATTTCCAGAAAATTCCATCTCTATTTTTTTTTCCGCCAATAAAAAAATATTTTCCTCTGGTTTCTGTAAATTTCCTCATATTTATTTTTCTTACCTTTGAGAAAAATAGAGAAAGACATGGTTAAGCAAGGGCCTTGCTATCACTGTGGAGTTACAAGTGAGTGCTTGTTCCTCCAATATGTGTTTTCTTTTTTGGTGAATCTTTTATGAGTTCTTGGACTATTTTTTGCATCAGAGTATTCTGCAACTGTCTTCTCACATGATAATTTCTACACAACATAGATGTGTGAGACGGGAATAGTTGATGAACAATATTAATAAAGAATTTAGGCTTCTGCAATTGTAAATGAATTCACGAACACCAATATTCTTTTCTCCGGTGTATTTGAAGTTCAAAATTTCTGGGAATTTTATTGATTTCCTCCTGGTTTATCTTTCGGGACTCTGGTCGTCATTTCTCTTTACTCTTTTGAGTTTCGAGCAAATGCAATTGGCAAAATTATGCCTGGCCTTCACTGGATGCAAGATGGGACTCATTACTTGATTGCCGGATTATATTCCTGTTAAGGTCTTCATCTGAAAGAGTCAATCCGCATACCGTTTGCAGTGGTAAATTGAAGAAAGAGAGAAAGAAAAGAGCAAAGAAAGTCATGCATTTGTAAAATGCCGTAGCTGATCGAGCTTTGCGATCTGAAAGATGTTTTACATAGTGATTGCCTCTTGAATTGAGCAATTCTTCATCGAATCACAGGATCTTGCTCCCAGCATTGCTTCCATCCTTCAGACATTTCTTTCTCTCCTGCCTTCTGGCTGAAAATCGACCCTTATTCTTCAACTCATGCCTTGAAGATATTAGTTGTTTTTAATTATGGGACTGTGTATCTTGAATTTGAATCAGTTCTACATGTTCAGGGCCTAGCAGGTGTTGTGTCATTTAAAACTCTAGTGTGTGTTCTCATATTTAGTTGAGTGATTGCGGTCATAAAACTCATAACAGAAATGATATTAATTCATTCATTTCTCTTCAACTGTGATGTCTTAAGTAAGCCTCAGCTATTAATGTTAGGACAATAACTGGGTGACTAAGACGTGCACCTATGTTCTGTCTATAACGTTATTCATTTCAGTTCAAATGCAGAAATTCTCTTCAGTGTTAGTATACACCTCTTCTATGTTTGAGTTCACCTAGTAAACCAAGATCTTCATTTCCTTGCTAAAGGGTGTTGCTTTCCATAATATTAATAATTGAAGCTTATCTATTAATTAATAGCTAATAACCAACAGTTTGGACAGGCGATTTTTGTTGAGTTTAGGTAGCTATCCTTGTATATACAAGCTATTGGCCCCTTCCATTTCCTCATGGGAACATTAATTGATAGTTCCTCCTTTGGTCTGTTGGTGCATCTGTTTTCCCTCGCAAGTTGATTATAATTCATGTGAAGTATGCATCTTCTGTCCATACCCTCCTATTACCCGATCAATGGCTCTACTCAGTTAGAGGACAGCCTAGAGCACTCTAATAAGAGAAAAATGGTACTTCTTGGAAGAGAGGTATCAAAAAGACAGATAGGGCTGTGGTCTGTTGGATATTAGTTGTCCCATTCAAATATACTCAATGAAGGATCTTGTTGTTGATATTGTTGCTGAGTAATTGTAAATAAAGCTTGCATGCTTCTCAACAGAATTTCCCAGTATTAACAATTTCTCCACTGCTAAGACTTATTTTGTCCATCTTCCCTGTAATTGTAATTTCCATGAGAGGCTTAAGCTATGTCTTGACTTGTGATAAACTCCCGATTTTATTTTATAATGAATCATAAACTTGATACTGTATGGATTGTGCATTTGATTGTCTATGTGAAGTACATCGCTATTCTTGTTAACAAAAGTGGAAATTTTTATTGATTTCTGACAAATAAGCATTGCCACAGGCACACCACTTTGGCGCAATGGGCCACCAGAAAAGCCAGTGCTATGCAATGCATGTGGATCTCGATGGAGGACAAAGGGAACCCTAGCAAATTATACCCCTTTACATGCTCGGTCAGAAACCGATGATTATGAGGATCAAAGGCTTTGTAGGGCAAAGAACATATCATTAATTAAGAACAAAGAAGTGAAATTGCTCAAACGAAAGCAGAACCATGATAATTTAGTATCTGGATGGGTTGCCTCTGGTTACAACCAGGGATCTCAAAAGGTTATAGATGAAGATGCAAGCAATAGATCAAGTTCAGGATCAGCTGTTTCTTACTCAGAGAGCTGTGCTCAATTTGCTGGAACAGATGCTAGCGACTTGACAGGTTGGAGTTTGGACATTTCCTATATGCTATTATAATTGGAGGATTATTTGTTCATCATTGACTATGGAAGCATTGATCTTTTCAGTGAGATGATATGGCTTTTATTGCTGGTTCATATTTATGATGGGCAATCCATTATCTTGAAGTTTGTAATAAAAATGAGGGAGGCAGGGTGAGAGATATAAATTGTGGATTTGCAGCGTGACTTACAACGGCTTGTTATCTTCAAGGAAGATGAGTGAACAAAAAATTAGCATTGCTTTGTATTGACAAAAAGGATCCAGTGTGTGACATAAATATAAACAGTCCGGCAATTAGATATGGATTATCTGTTATCAAGTTATGTGTGTATAAAAATATTTCTTAGGCAATACATTTTTTACTGACAACTGTTCATCTTTATCTGTTTTATTGGCTATCTTAGAATAAGAACTCTTTTGTCATGGTACATATGTAACCTCATGCTTCTTATAACATATAAACCCTTCATTTTCTTTGCATAAAACATGTAATTCTAATTCTAATATAGATAGCATCTGCGTGTTGATTTTAGGTCCTGCTCAGTCAGTGGTGAGGGATGGCATGGTGCCCTCAAAAAAGAGATCCTGTGTGAACCGTCAAAAGCCATCTTCTGTTGAGAAGCTCACAAAAGATTTATATACTATCCTTCATGAACAGCAGTCCTATTTCTCTGCATCTTCTGAAGAGGATCTCATTTTTGATAGTGAAACACCAATGGTCTCTGTTGAGATAGGACATGGAAGTGTTCTCATTAGGCATCCTAGCTCTATAGCCCGTGAAGAAGAATCTGAGGCTAGTTCCCTTTCAGTTGATAACAAGCAATGCCCAACGAGTGAGGCATATTCATACTCTGGTGCTGTTGATATGCGTAATGATTTCACTGGCATGAATTTTCCATCTCAGGGAGTTGAAAATATCAACTACTCTGCTAGCCCAGGAATTCAGCGGGAGAAACTGAAAAGGTAAGTATTTTCCCGTCTCTAGTTTGTTAGTCTGGCATACATAGCTTCATTATATAACAAATCCCGTGTTGCTTGCTTCTTTATGCATATGAATTTGTGAAGAAATATTATGAATGCGGAGATATTGACTCTCCAGCACCGAAGAGCCAGAGAGAATATCCTCAATTCTCACTAACATTTCTTTTTATTTTGGCGTGTCAGGGAGCCTGAAACTTCACAAATCCTTGGATATCCTGACTCACCACTGTGCTTGATAGATTTAACGGTGAGTTATATCTCCATTTTGTCCCTTTTGATTGCACTGTGAGAGATAAATTGACAAATATGTTGATTCATGAGATTGTGACTGACCAAAAAGATAAATAAGTAAAACTAGTGATAAGATTGCATGTTTCTGCAGTCAACTGTTCTAATTTAACATGGCTTTTGAAAACAAGCTATATTTTCATTTCATATAATTTGCTTATGTTTTATTCGCCTTGTGCTTTTTTTTTTTTCCTTTTTTCTTTGGTTATGTATATCTATAGTGTTGTTAAAATTTCAAATGATATACGGATCAATACTACTTCATAATTTTCAAATTCTGGAATGTTCTATATTATTTAATTGCTCCCATGTTTGGCATAGGATGTTGTAAACTCTGAGGTGTTCTTCACGAACATGACGAATGAGGACCAGCAAAAATTACTGAAGTGTCTCCCTGCAGTTGATACTGCTAAACTTCCTGACAGGTCAGTTTCTCTGTCGCGCAGAATCCTTTTAGGTTTGTAAAGAATTTTTAGTGTATATTTTTTTTCTTAAAAATCTTTTTAAATTAGATAGCAAGTCCAAGTGGATCAAAATTTGTCAAGATCGTGAACTAAAATTTCTCTGTGTTATGATCTGAGTCTTGGATATTTAAGAAAGTTATGCATTTTATCACCTCAAAATAGGGAAAAATAAATTTTATGTATCTAAGCTTTTATCGTGTCTCTGATGTTTGATTTTCAAGGCAATATCTAAAGTACAGACTGAATCTGACCGTAGTGACTGTTCTTTTTTTTTCCAACTGTGCAGCCTTAAAACCATGTTCAACAGCTTTCAGTTCAGAAAGAACTTAACTTACTTTCAACAGCTTCTCGGGGAAGGTGTCTTTGATACCTCTTCACTGGGGTCAAACGCTGGTGATTGCCAGGCTTTGAAACGGCTCGCATTATGTGATTTTTCACAGTCAAAATGGGTGGAGCAATACGATTTACTTAAGGTTAATGTTGGCTTATTATGTATGGCATCATTGGTTGTGAAGTGATGAATTTAGATAATAATACTTATCAGCTATCACATCCTTTAATGAATGCAGAGATGCAAATACCGAGATGAAAAATCTGTTGCTTTTGGATGTACTGGCACTGCATCCAGTAATGCTGCAAACGAGAAGAGATTGTGTGACAGCACAGAACAAACTTTTCCTGGTTAGCCCATTATCCTTTTCTTCTAAATTCAGAGGGGGAAAAAGACTGTATACCAAGGCCTTGAAATTAGCTACTCTCTTGCTATTGCACACTGATGCAAAATTGAGTTTATTGTGTAAAACTGATACTACAGTTTTACAAAAACAATAAACATTATCACACTATATGGGGTCAGCTATATAGATTGTGTTAACCCATTTTGTTCTTTTAACAACCATCTCTTTAGATAAACCCTTCACTAAAAGGTCCTGTTTCAGTTTGGCTTATTTGGCCGAAAAAGTTCAGTTTTTGCTTAAACTAGTGAAAACACATTGCTCTTGGAATTGATAGTCATGGCACTTTGACATTTTTTTCCCGAATGTGCTACTGTTTATGATTTAACATTGCACAATTATAATAACCTACCTCAACTTTGATTTGCTAAATTTTGTTGTCACATATAAATTTTCCTTTTGTTTAAGTTTTTGGTTACTATTATTATTCTACTGACTTAGAGGCTCGAGGCTTTCAATTTGCTCGCGGGCAATAAGACTTGCTACTAGTCTTAAATTTGTACTAAAACAACTTGGCAATAATAATGCCCTCAGCTCATAATCATTTGGATTTGAACTCTTACTTAGTGATACAAATGAAGATTTGAAGTCCTATTGAACAGCTGTTAGTTAGAACTGACGCTGGTTATCTCTTGTGATTATGGCTTAAATGAAGAGTCATTCTTAACATTCCTTTTGTTTTTTCAGAACTGAAGTCAACAGTTAAGAGCCCCCAAAGGGTGATCATGAGGGCTGGTAGTGAGGGCAAGGAAGTCTTTGGAGATGGCTCTTGCTTCAGTCCAAAAGGCCTATTGGCTTTGCCCACTGATGGCAGCCCCCAAATGCTGGATTCTTTCAACTTCGTCGACGAGAGTTCTGATCAAGATCTGTTGCTCGAAGTGCGATCTAACAGTTCTTTTCCAGAAGCAGAACTGCTGCATCCAGCCTTAAGATTTGGTACTCAGCCCAGCAATAGCAGTAGCTCGGCATACCAGCATGTTGCCTATTACTGATCACTCTTGTCTTGTCAGGTTTCTTGGGTGGCCATGGCCTAAGCCTTGTGTCTTGATGGGGGTATGCATATTTTGCATCTTAATTACCAAAATCCCCTGTACAAGATATATGATGGCTGATGCTTTTGTTATTATACAACCTTTTGGAGCTTGGATTGCTAAGGGATGAAATTTGGGTGGGGCTTTTTTGTATAGGTTTGATGACAGATTGTAACATATAGCATGAAACGCAGAGCAACGGATCTCCGGAGTTTTGATTGCTCTTGTACTTTATGCTGTGAATAATTTTAGTCCCCTGTTTTCCCCTATAAACATCCCCACCATCTCTAACGTAGGTGAAGGAAAATGGCATCCGGACAAAAACATAATGGGAGGTTGTAGTTTAGACTGGAAGTAAGATTGAGCATGAGCCAAAGAAGGCCAGGTTGGACTCCAAGTGGAGGGGAGAATAGCAGTTGAGACCAATTTAGTAAGTTAATTATTAGTAAGGATTTAAATTTCTGAAATTATATTGCATGATCAAGCTCTCTTTCTACACTCTGAGAAAAGAAAAATGTGTAATGACCAAAAACTACAAGATTGAAAATGAAAATTTACACAAATTTTTCTTTAAAATTAAAGAAAATTGGCGTGCGGTATTAGTCAATGGTAGGGATGAGGTCGAAAATCTTTACACTTTTCCCTCAGGCATTCAATTCAAGTCACGCTGCGAATTAACATATGTCAATAACAAATTTGCAAATCAGTTAGAGGGTTGAGGTTGAACATGAATAACTACTGTTTCTTTTCCGTCAATAAATTTAATAGTGGCACGGAGAAATAATTTTTCTAAAAAAATTGCAATTCAGCACTCTTTTGTATAATACTGAAATCTATTAAGGAAAAATCCCACATAAGCAATCTAAAAATTCCTAAATCTCAAATTAAAAATTTCTATAAAAATGTGTTATTTTGCAAATTAAGTGTAATCAAAACCTGTCAAAGTGTAGAAAACAATCTTAATTTGAAATTTAAAGTAATTTTCAACTTCCTTTTGTGGGATTTTCTTATCTATTAATTTACAAGGTGAATATAAAGTGAGAGCCTAACTTTTCTCATAAAGCACCACCCCTTGCATAACAATAGTAGTTTTCTCCACGCTATAAGTCATCAATAATATCTCTAAAAGGATGAGAGCTATCACGCCCCTAGTGACCAAATTAATGACCTGGGCACAATCAGTGAAAAGAGCTAAAATCTCCGGACAAGACAAATCGAGGCCATTCATGAGAAATGACCCCTTACAATTCTGCAATAGCTGAAGTAACATCGTGAGTTTACAGCAATAACCGCGTATCTCTCTATCCTCACTATTCTGAATGACACTACCACATTCACTGCTTTCATTCTGGAAAACTGAGCTATCCACCTCAAGCTTAATAAATCCACCTTGAAAATTATCCATGTTTGGTTCCAGCAATCACTCGTTGGCCTAGAATTTCAATTACTTATAAAATCTTTATCCAGACATGCTTGAAATAGACTATCTTGAGCCCTTGAATGGCCCATGTTGTATTAAAAAGCTTCTGTGGATAGCATTCGAGCAATCTCTTATTAAGTGCATCACATCTTCATTATGGGTACAATCAAAAGGGCCGCTGAATCTTGAAGATTGTGTTCTTCTCTTGCACTAGTTGTATGCATTTGCCCCCGCAAAAAGCCACATGAACAACTCAATCTTTTCTGGCACCAATCATCTCCACAGAATTCTCCAAACACCATCTGCTTGCTGATGGTTGCTTGCAAAACAAAAATGAATTGTGACGAAATTTAATACGGCTATGTTTGTAATTTTATATTGTAGTGTCATTAGATGATAACCCATGTGTTGTTCAAGGGTACGCTAGACCACCAGCTTGTAGTGGCCTACTACACTTGAACCACACATGGGTAACCATCTAATCGCACTAGAAGTGTAAAATTATAAACATAGCAATGTGCCCATAACAAAAGCAATAAAATAACGACAAGCGAAGTTATGTTTTCAATTCTTATGGACGCTTCATCAATTTTTCAAACTTTAGATAGGATTGAGATTGCTTCATATGTGGGAATAAGCCAAAAATCGGAATGATAATAGAATATGTTGCCAACAAAACAACTCTTACGGAATTTAATCTTCATACTACAAAATACCAAATAATTAACCACGCTTGAATTTAATTTGGTACCATTAGATATCAAATGGTTATAAATCAACACGCTTTATTTTAATAGATGAAGTCAGCTACATAAATCATATAACATTATTATACTATTTGCAACTAAATCTCTAGATATTTTATTAATTAAAAAGTTTAATTCAATAACTTTATTGGGTGTTTTCTTTATTCTCACATAACTTTACAGTGCCTTATCCATCCTCCTTGCCAGTCCTTCTAATAGCTTTTTTTTTTTTTTTTGGTACATATCCAAATCACTTCAAAGGATTTTCTTCTATTTCCTTTTCAGTTAATGCCACGTTCTTCCTGATATGTATTCATTATGAATCATAATTTTTCTTGTATAACCTCATTCCATCTCAACAGCCAACATCCTCATCTCTACGTATCATATAGCAAGAGGGGGGAGGGGCGGGGGAAGATCATGGCATGTGAATAATATAGGCGGGCAAAATCCAGCTACCAAACTTCTAACTACCATTCCCTCCTCACAAAACCATACACCAACCAGAGCAAGAGACAAGCTTCCAGCGAACAGAACAAACCACACAAACAGCAAGTTCTTGAACACCCGGACTCATTATAACCAAGGGAGTATATATGAATTGTGAAGAAGCTCCTTGCTAGGGACCCAAAATTTTCTTCTAACATTGAAAAGAAATCATGAAGATGATTGGATCACGAAATAGCACAGACATACGAAGATTTCCAGAACTACGTTATTTCTTTGTAGTTTTCTGTTATATCTCAAAAATTATGGGGGCAAAAAACATCCCAACTCATCTACATTACTCCCCTCCGCACCCTTCGAATAAAACTTAACCACTTCACATTTTTATTTCTCTGGTTCAATTTTCTTTCCTGAGTACACCATTGAAAAAGTCCCACTTCCTTCCTCACATATGACTTGCATATGAGTTTTGCGCAATTCAGTTCCTCTCGTTGTCATTCTCCTTCCACCAATATGGACGGGGAAAATTGAAGCCACGACTAGTTGCAAGATGCAGCAAATTAACATTTTCTAGACTATCTTCCGCAGAGTTCTCTTTCCTCAGAGCTTTAAATACATCAAAGACAAAATTATTACCATTCTTAATTTCCTTCTTTATTCTAGCTATATTCTTCAAAAAGTCACCGGCTGAGGAAGGAATAACACTCGATTCTGGGTGTTCGTCGCCTCCTTTCTGCCGCTCAGAAGTTTCAGCAGTCTCATTCACTGCCTTGTTCCCTTCATCAGTGCGTTTTTCTGCTTCACAACCCGCCTCTTCGCTTTCAATATTTTCAACACATTGCGTGGCACCTTTTGCAATCTTCGATTGAGTAACGGGTCTTCCCAGATTCTCACAAAAGCCTGAATTTTTCTCAACTGAAGTTCCGTCAGAATGATTTTTCTTGTCGCCCACTCCCAAGTGCATTTCCTTGCCAATTTTAACGTTCTGTCGAAGTTGGGAAACAGCCTCATAGTTGCAGAGATCTTTAGGATCAGAAACCAAATTCCTTTTGGAATTATCCAAATGCTGTTTGATTTTCTGCGGTTCAATCCCGAAACAAGCCTGTGAAGATTCAAAACCTGGATTTTGCTCTGAATTCTTCATTGATTTCTGTGGTGGCTCACCTGAACTGTCCTTTGAAAGCAATTCCCTCTTTGAAATCCGAAATTTGTCTATTTCAGAGCGGGAAATCTCGATTATATGAGCTCCATCGTTACCATCCAAGCATTCAGCCACCAATGTGCGTCCAGTCCCCTGGTTCAATACGCCTTGTGGAAACCCTAATTCCGATTCGTCCCTTAAATCAACATACTCTGCTGCTTCTGCATTCTCACTGAAATCAAAGAAACCCTGTGCTTCATCATCAGTCTCAACCACCTTATGGATTACGCGACCATGACCTTCGGATGCGGACTGCGATGACTGCTGCTCAGGCGGAGTATGAAAAACGTCTTGGGAACCCCTATCTTTGGCTGCGTCTTGAAACGTCTCCGGAAGAGACGCAATCGCAATGCCGGTGGAAGCCACTGGGACTCCACAGGAGCTCAGCGGTGCTCCGTCGTCAGGGTCAACAAAACGACAATGACGAAGGATTTCTTCCTGAGAGGAAGATGTTTGGCAAACCTCGATTATATCGTCCAATGCAGCGTTCGTCTCAGCCGCCGCCATCGAAGCCTAGGGTTTAAGTTATCTATTCATAAGTTGAAATGCAACAAGATGAAGCTGCAACAGTCGCGTTAGGTAACGGAGGAAGAGAGAGGAGGACTCGATGAGAGAAGAGTGAAGTCGCCGCCACATTCGATCCCGTCTCTCTTTAGCGGCTTACCCAAGGCAAATGAATCGAGCCGTGACGAAGTTACAGGCTAGACGCCGATGCGAGGGGACGAGCTACCCAGGGCAAATCGGCGATTGCCCGGTAAATTTATGACCTCTTTTTTGTTTTTTGTTTTTTTTTTTGTTTTTTCCTTCCTCCGAGATGCCGCCAAATGCATAAAACGTTGGAATTTCAGTAATGACATTGATTGCCCTAATAAATTTATGAATAGAACTCATTTAGTCATATAAAAGATGTAATAAATATATATTTTATTTTATATCTAAATATTTAATGAGTTTTTTTAATTTTATTCCTAACATATATTTTTATTTATTTATTTATTATATTTTTACTTATTTTTTATTAATTAGAATAGATTTGTGAAAAAAATACTTGCCTTACATATTTATTGTTTTAAACTAATTTTAACTAATTTTTTAATAAATATAAATAAATAAAGTTTATCTTATATTTTGAACCGAATAAAGTGTTAGTAAGAATTTCAATAACATATAACATAATGAGACGCCTATCTAGCAAATATAACAAAGTATTTAAAAAAATAAATGACAAATTTGATACTAAAATTTACTAATACATTAAGATTGTGGTTTTCTTAAATTATATGAAAAAAAAATCTGCTTTAAAAAATTATTAACTTAATAGCGTTAAAATCAAGTAATTAAAAGTTGCTGTTTCTGTAAATTTTTTGTCAATATATTAAAGTTAGTAGGGAATTCATATTATGCATTGTCAATTTCTTATTCTTAGTATTTCCAAATTTTTTTATGTAAAATATTCTTTATAAATAAATATTATATAATATCAAGTTTTCAAGGTTTAATTTTTTGAAATAATATCATTTTAAATTATAAAAATTTATTTTAGTATTTTAGTAACATTAAAAAATCTTTAATAAGATCTCCTGAACATGAATT